GAATTTCACCGTTTCGCAGCCCCCAGGTTCAACCGGCCCGAGCTTGTGAGGGCCGGTCTTGATGGTGGGGCCTGCAATAAGGTGAAATAAGGCTCCCTCTGCGAAATGGTATTTGGTTAATCCCCCCTATACTACTAACACCTTTTCATAATAATGTATGTCATACTTTCAAGTACGTGTAAAATTAGACGGGAGGTCAAGGCTTTCCATTCAACCAGGAAATCTTTGGTGCAGAACATGTAAAATAATTATGGTTTCCATGACATGTACCCCCTTTTTGAAAGCCTGTAATGGGTGCTTTTGGGAAGTGTATGTATGATATTCATACAATTGATCCTCAGCTACTGTAACAATATTTTGATCAGTGCACTTTATCGTCAATATAAGAGGACAGACACACAAAAAAAACTGGCGTTAATAAGTGAAATGAAATTAAAAATGTGTTAAGCATTCATATTAGGATTTCATTCTTTTTATGGGACAAATGTAGCTCTGAGAATCAAGAACAATGACCCTGCCCTGAGAACTAAATTAATATGGAAGCCCAGGATGCTTGTTTGGTATACAGTGCACTAATGGCAAACAGGGTGTTTTGGTTATGTTTGTGGTGCAAAAATTTATTTTGGAAAGTTCCTCACCCATGTTAAGGCTTTACAGGATCTTTGAGGATCTCACAAGATCTTTAAAGATCTAGTGATTCAACGATCTTTTAAGGATTCTTAAAAGATCTGCAAAGATTCTTAAATGAAAGATCTTATCAAGATCTTGCATTGATTTTCCAGGATTTTCAAAGGTCTTTGTAAGATCCTTGAAGATCCTCAAAGATCTTGTTCAGGATCTTTGAGTATCTTGATCCTTGTTAAGATCCTCATGAAGATCCTCAAGGATCCCTGAAAGATTTTACCAGTAGAGTGAAAAATCAATAGACTGAACAATATAGTTTGTGTAGTGTGCATTAGTCAGTTTTGTTCATGTTTACAGGTGACTCAATTGTTGGACTAAGCATACAGTAGTTAATAGAGGCAAATGGTTATGAAACTCGTCAAAGTTCTTTGTTGTTTGTTTTTGTTCTCTTTTTTAGCCTTGACTGTGTACAAAACACAATTGTTGTTTACTCCATACTGAGGAACTAACCAATAGAAACGTGTTGGTTATGTAATTCATGCATAGTGTATGAGTGCAAAACGAAAGATTGTACACGGTCATGGAGCTTCCAACATAAATCTGGGCATCTTTGTTTTCTCCTTTGATGTTTGCCGGGCTTCATAACCAGTCCCCTCTACAGTGTATTAACTATGGACTAATTAGCAATATACAGACAAGGAATCATTAGCTATTAAAACTAGGCAGTTCATGGAAACAAAATTGTTACATTTTTTGTTAAGTGACTTGTTATCCAACAACTTAACTCTTGCAAGTGATAAAAAATATATCTTTCATGCTGTCTAAATCTCAGATTGGATTCCAAAATAACCTGTCATTGTGCTTGTTTCATCACAGGATGTTGGACCAGACAGAAAATATCACATGACAGCACAGACTCGGAGGCCAGGAAAAAGACAAGAGGGCAGGCAAGAAAGAGGATGCTTAAAGAGGCAAGCCACTTAGTAGACAAGTTGACAAGATCGCTAATGGTATCATAAGTAGTTTATCTAATTAGAATAAGTTGGCCCAGCCCGGGGTTTTCCTCCTAGGAGCAAGTGGACGTATGGGGAGGTTTTTCACCCAGCTGTTGTTCCACAACCCCTGTTCAGGTTAGCTGGTTATTTCTTTAGCTTCACATAGTCTTTGACTAGGTTCTTGCATTGGTTTGGGGCAAGTAAAACTAAGTAAAAACCTTACATAAATACATTACAGTCACTAACTTATTAGAACAAACACCTCTTTGCCAACAACAAGTGACTTTTTCGTGACCTCAGCAAACCAATCAACAAACTTTCACTTCAAACAGACCCAGCATAAACTTGACAAACAATGTATGGAGTGAAACTGAGAACATCTGACGCTAACAACTGCTACATGTAACACATTACAAATGACCTTATTCATGACCTAAACAAACCTTCCAACAAACTTTAACTTGGTCAGACAGAACTGACACAAACTTGACTAACAATAGATGAAGTGACACTTCACAACATCTAACACTGACAACTCTACACCTTACAGATGACCTATTTATGACCTCAACAAATCAACCAACAAACTTTATCTTTAAACAGAACCAGCAGACTTGACTAACAACAGATGGATTGAAACTGGCAACAGTTATTTGACATCAACAATTACTTATACCTTACAAATTTATGACTTACACGTATTCATGACCTAAACAAACCAATCAACAAACTGTACATTATTTTGTAACTTCAAACAGAACCAGCACAAACTGTGACAACATCTAATGCAAACAACTACTTACACCTTACATATGACTTTTTCCTGACCTTAACAAGCCAATCAACAAACTTTAACTTCAAACAGAACCAACACAAACTTGACTTACAATGGATGGACTGAAACTGACAACATCTGAAATCAACAACTACTCGCACCTTACAAATGATTCATTTGTGACCTGGACAAATCTAAAAAACTAGACCTGACTTCAGTACTTCAGTTGAAACCTAAGATACTGTCATTGACATTGCAGGCTTAACTGCCAACTAACGTACTCTGTACCACAGTCACCAATACTTTATAGACTACAGTAACTGCACAAGCTGTATACCAATGCAAGGGTTTAGCACTGAGTCAGATAATAATTATTATCTAATGCTACATAAGTGTGTGTGCCACCATTGTTCAAATAAGTGCTTTTCTTCTAAGAGAAAAATTATCCCCAAACATTTTGCTACTGAATATCACCATAGCTGTACACTGTACACTGTTTAAATTTTTTTTTTACATTTTTACATTAATTGGGTCAATGATTGGAATCAGAGGTCTTTACTACCGTATGTAGTTTTCTCTGTAGATTAACAACAAACTCACTTTTCAACTACATTTCAAGAGTTTATTAATCAAAATTCACATTATTTGCAAACACAAGAAAGACACCTGTCCAGTAAATTATTTTCTTGTGAAATTTTGCACTGATCTTGGCAGCTATCTGTAAGTGTCAATTCTTCTGACAAGACTCAAATTTAAAAATTTGCAAAGTTATGGTTATCTTTGCAGGAAAAAAAAACAGCTAGGAACTAAATTATGGTAACTGTCTTACTGGGCATATGTTAAGGTTCCATCCTTATCCTTAAAATTGGAGCGACATTGAGTAACTTACAGCAAATTAATTCTGAGAAGGATGCAGGATGTCCAGGTTTTCAATGTACAGCTCTTGCAAATTGGGGTGTGCTTCATCACAGGCTAAGAAAAATCAATAAAAATTAGTTGGTAGAACTCTTAGAAATTAGCTAGCAAATACTTCACATCCCTAAGGATAGCTTGCTTAAGGATTTTTTACCACAATTGCAGCTAATCTCGCAATCGGATTGGCTAATTTGCCATTGTTAATGAGAGTCCAGACAGCATTGCTCGCATCAATGTGTCGCACAATGCCTCTTTCAGCTCGCGCTCTGAAAAAAAACATTTTCTTTGACATTGATATTGTGGTAAAAAACAAATTAAAATGTGGTTTAGCATGGTCTGTACTCTTATTGACAATGATACGTGTCATCACAGTGGTCAAAATTTGTTGTGGACTCACTCGGCTGCATCTTGCGAGTCCACAACATTTTGACCACTGTGATGATGTGTATCGTTGTTGATAAGAGTACAGACCATGCTTAACCACATTCGATTTGTTAAACTTCTTATCTTAGCTAGTGTACAATGTACATGTACTTCTTTCACAAGCCAAAAAATATTTCACTACTTAACTTCAGGGCTCGAAAAATATCCGAATTCCACCTTGCCCGTTGGGCAAGTAACTCTCAAATTTTGCTTGCCCGGGGCACTTCCCCGCTTGCTCAAGTTTTGAAACTCATTAATAATTCAGGAACCCAAAAATGGAAGTCAAACTACAGGCGTGTTTTAATGTAATAAACCCGTCTTGACTGTAGTCCTCTTAGTGCTGATCACTTTCATGTTTACGCCATTATATTGTAATACTTCCACAACGTTTAACTTCTTCATTCCGCTTTTATGAAGTTGTACGGTTTGTAATAATTAACATGGATGAACACTGTTAT